GCATTGTGTGGGACTTCAACTGCAGCTTTCAATACTCTTGCTTTATTCTATATATTCAATGTTTTAACTATGATACACCATGGAGAGTTTCATTTTGATCTAGTCTGTCTGGTGTTCTGTGTGCTTCTTGTATCTGTATGTGTATTGCTTTCCTAAGCTTGAGGAAGTTTTCTTCTATGATTATTGACCTGGGATTCTTCTCCTTCATTCACACCCATAATTTGAAGATTTGGTCTCTTCACAGTGTCTCCCAGTTCCTGAATATCCCTTTCCTGGGTCTCTTTTGATTTTTTTTTCATATTCTTTGCTTGAGTGGTCTAATTCCTCCACTTTATCGTTGAGTCCAGATATTCTGTCTTCTGCTTGATCCCTTCCCCTGGGTTTTCTAATTGGGTTGTTGAGTTTTTCAATCCCATCTTCATTTCATCTTGAGTTTCTTCAATATTTCTATATCCTTAGTGAATTCAGTTTTCAAATTCTGGATTGTTTTTGTCATTTCCTTCAACCTATATTTGTGTTTTTTGGATGTCACTCAGGCATTTATTCTCTTTAAGTTTGTTGAGTTATTTCTTGGTGCATCTTTAAACTTCTTAATTCTTTGATTATGTTTATGATTGTTCCTTCACATTTCTGGTCTTGGGGGTTCATTGAGGTAATTCTCACAGGAGAACATTTCTACAAGACTTGTAGATTTTGCAGGGGACGTGCTTACTATCTTAACCTTTCATGCTATTTATGGTTTTTTTGTGGGGGTTTTGTTTGGTTTGGTTTGGTTTGGTTTGGTTTGGTTTGGTTTGGTTTTGGTTTTTCTTTGCAATGAGACCTGAACATTTGGACTTCTTTCTTTGGTTGTAAGTCTGATGTGGACACAAAAGGCTAGCACTAAGGATGTGCCACCCAGTCCAAACCTGAAGGCTGGGTAGAACATAGGTAGAGTGCACCAATCTGAGCTACGGCCCTGGTTGTGAGCCTGGGGAAGGTATGGGGATTGAGGAAGGCGAAGGCAGAGATGAGTCAGGTGGACTCACCAAGTTGGGTTAGTGCGCAGGATTTTTGGAATGGGGCAGGCCTGGAGGTTGGGCATGGTGGGCCAGGATAAGGTCAAGAGGACACATGGATTGGGATAATGTATAGGATTTCAGTCCTGGCCCAAGCCTCAGGTTGAAGATAGCATAGACAGGGCTCCCCAGACTAGGCCAGGATGTGGGACCCGGACCAAGTCTGAAGATTATGGAGGGTGCTGGTGAGGGATGTCGGGTGGTCAGACCTAACAAGCTCGACTGAAGTACAGATATGCAGGCCAGGCTGTGCCTGGACACTGGTCATAGCACAGGCAAAATAAGGTTAGGAAGACACAGGGCACTGCCTGTACAGAAGATCATAGCCAGCTTTTAAATCAAATGCTGCATAAATGCATAAGCCAAATACAAAAAGACCTGAGCAGTGAAGCCTGGCCTCACACAGAGGCTGCATGATTCTGCCTCTGTTTGATAAGGGGGTAAAGGAAAGAGCCTTTGTGTTTCCAGCAGAAAGGAAGCCAAGGTGGATGTCTGGGAAACACATTATCTCCTTTATGCTGTGAAATCTTTTTCATTAAGACTTTTTAAATATGATTTTATTCAGTCTGCAGATCTTAGCTGGGGTAGAATTTTTAGTATGCTATGCTGGGAAATTCTCAAAGGCCAAGGCCCAGTTATAGATCAAAGTATGAGAGTTAGAAGGACTGCTCCAACTTTGTTCTTCTATGCTTTCCTAGAGGACAACTTTACAAGGATGAGAAATATAACACCAAGGAAGTACCAATAAGTTCTACATCCGCTATAGGATCAGAGGTATAAAAATCCAAGGAATGTCCCGAAGTGGCTCCATCCTATCCAGCTATTAAAGACATATAGGAATCCCAGCTGAGCCTTTGTTTCCTGCTCAATTACATGTGGGTCAGGAGGAAAAAAAAATAGTGTGAGCAGTGCTCAGGGGTCAGGCTGACCAGGCTCAGACCTCAACACCTGTCTCAAACATCTGCAGGCACTCTTGGGATATTTACTTATTTATTGAGCTAGCTCCATGCCAGGTTCTCCTCAAGGCACTGACCTCAACCCTGACCAACAGGCAGGGAGCTTTCATGCAGAACAGGTAAGGCAAGACCAGGAAAGGGACCACAGCTAAAGAGAGCAATGACCGTGGTCCAGGAAGCAGTGGCCGCAGCAGTGTATAGGGATAGTGGGTGGGTGGGTGGGTGGATTAGTGGTTCACCCCAGGACTTGCTCCTCAGGACTGTGGGATCAGACAGCAGCAACATAGGCTGAGGGTACCTGTCTGCAGAGCCTCTAGTTCTGGGGAAAGAAGCTGGACTCAGACTCAGGGAATCTGCTGAGTCTCCATGCATTAAGACCATGAGCAACCCAGGAAAACTACAACGCTGACGTCACTTCCGGAGACTCTCCCGCTGCCCACCAGAACCCTCACCCGTGAAGGAACTCTACAGAATTCTGGAAGCACAGAAGTTATAGAAGCACAAACTAAAAGTTAACTTTTCTAACACTTCTACAGCTTTCTTTTCATTCTTTACCTGGGGACAAACCAACCAAGGGCAGAGTTTGAATTTCACAAGTTGTTGCATATATAATTTTTATGTGCAAGTTACACTAATGTCATAAAATAGGAAATTTTACGTTTCTGTCCACAAAATATAAATCAAGTCAGATTAAAAAACCTTGAACCATAAAAAATTAATAAGCCTACACTGAATGTATGGTAAGTTCCCTGACCATGCAGGAATCAAACTCTAATTATATAACTGAAACACAACAGAAAAAATGCTGAAGTTTACAAATTAAACAGCACATACCTAAGCCAGGCATGGTAGCATGTATGTACAGGCCCAATTATTCAGAGAGGCTGAGACCAGAGGATCACTTGAGTCCAAGAATTTAAGGCCAGCCTGAATGATAAATCAATACTCTACTCTCCCCCGCAAAAAAAAAAAAATAAGAAGAAGGCCGGGCAGTGGTGGCGCACGCCTTTAGTCCCAGCACTCGGGAGGCAGAGCCAGGCGGATCTCTGTGAGTTCGAGGCCAGCCTGGTCTCCAAAGCGAGTTCCAGGAAAGGCGCAAAGCTACACAGAGAAACCCTGTCTTGAAAAACAAAAAAAAAAAAAAAAAAAAGAAGAAAATAATAACAAAATATATATGTGGAATTTTTGGAGAAAGAAAACTAAATGGAGCTGAAACACAAAGATTGAAATCTGCAGGGTGGCGCTAAAGACATGCTAACACGATTGGAGTCAGTCACTTGGAAAAACATTTGTATATCATAAGTATGCTGCAGTGTATGTCCTAACATAAATCCATCTAATCTAGTGCACCGGTTAGCTAATGCAGACAAATCAAATGACCACAGGGACTGACACAGACAGGCACACACCAAACCGAGCACCAGTTATGGAAGGACTTCTCAGTACAGCTGGAGAAGAAAGGGATCTCCCCAGTCTCTTAAACAGTGCCTGCAGGACACCAGCTGATGTCTTGCTAGTGGTGGAGGCTGGAAGTCCCTCCCTGTGTGATCCGAGAGCACACTCTCACCACTTTATTATGACTACTGTAAAGGGGGCAAGGAAATTAAAGGGAATCAGATTGGAAAGGAAAAAATAAATCCACTCCCACTACACATACTATGATGGTCTACCTTCAAAATCTCAAGAATCCCATTTAAAAAAAAAAAAACTCCAATGAGGTCAGGAAAATAACAGATCACAAAACTAACCTGAAAAGTCATCTACATGTGCTTACAGTGAACATCTGGACAGAAGAAAATGGAGTGCTATTTACAACTGTTCCAAAGGGAAGGAAATGTAAAGATTTAGCAAAAAATCGAATAGGGTCTGTACAGTAATTTTTTTTTAAACAAAAAACAAAATAAATCAAGAGATACACCATGTTCCCAGACTATAAGAGCATATAAAGTGTATATGGAACAAGAATGACTACCACACTGAACAACTTCGGGGAAATGTAGCAAGTGAGAGATGTTCCCTGGAGTGTGAAGACAGAACACACCTGCCGTGATCAATAGTGTGGGAGGGGGATGGATAGGAACTTAACCAATGTGCTAACATAAGGAAGTGAGAAATATGCCCCACAAAGACCCTAATTGTTTTCCAGATTTATTTAGTTTATATATATATATGGGTTTTTCACTCATACGTATGTCAGTGCACTATGTGCATTCCTGGTACCCACTGAAGCAAAAAGAGGAGATCAGATCCCTAGGAATGGGAGTTATGCACAGTTGTGAGCCTCCATGTGAATTTTAGGGATTAAACCCAGGTCCTCTGCAACAGCAACAAATGTTCTAACCATTGACCCATCTCTTCAGCCACTATAACCCCCCCTCCACCTTTTTTTAAATTTTATACAGGAACAAAAGCAATTCATCAGAGGAAAGAAAGCTTTCTTGATAAATGGTGCTGGAGTAATTGGATATCCAAGGATCTGAAAATGAACCTCCATCTAAGACGCACACAGATACCAGCTCAAAGCTAAAATTTTAAATATTTTGGGGAACTTACAGCTGAGCAGTAAGTTCTTAGACTTAACACTAAATCATAATCTATAAGACACACAAACTTTATCAGGCACACTAAAAGAAAATATTTGCAAACTGTATATCCAGCAAAACCTTGTACATTTGCATCTCAAATATATAACTACTCAAAACTCAACATTAAAAACTCAATCATAAAATACATAAATGGCAACTTACAGACATCTCACTAAGCTGTTCTGGTCCTCTCACACCTGATCTTGTTTTGGTCAGTGCTTATGATTCAGCAACTACTTGGGGACAGTTGCCTTTTCTAGAATGAGGGACGGTCTAATCCTTAGAAATTACACCTTTCCAACCTGACCAAATAAAGCTGAGTCTATCAAACAGATAACAAACTGTCCTGGCCACCTGAGCACAGGCACTGGTAGATCATAGGAAGCGGGCAGGGTAATTACCTCAAATATTATCAGAGTATAAACCCCTGTGAGGATGGCCACGGCAATGGTCACTTGTGCTTCAACACTTGCCCCAAGGAACTGATGAGCCAACAAGAGAGGAACAAGGTGAGTCTGTTGGAGGGAAGCCTGGATGTTGATGGAAACAGCCTCTCTGTAAAATAAATCACAGATCTTGAGGTTGATCAAGAACAGGAAGTGAACAATTAGTGTACTTCCTCAGTATCCTTTCTAGCAAATCAGCACTGCCAGAGCCAGAGCCCTAGGTATTATTACACAGTGATTCAGCCCAATGCATAATCTCACAGACAGAAGAGCTCTCAGTACAGGCCTGAAACATAGGGCACAGTCTTTCTGGGACACTCAACAAGGGCTCTTCAGCCTTTTGAAGGTGCCACTGCAACACTTAGGCTACAAATGGCAATTGGTTTTAGCCATTCGTTTTCTTCATCCTCATCAACACAACGGAGTGCTTCACCTGCTAATACAGAGAAGCAGGGTGCTGCAAGCCGCAGGAAAACGTGATGGAATTCAGCTACTATCACAAAAGCCACTACTTGGAAAAGTCAAGGACTTTTCCAAAGGTCCAGCCGTGACTTAAGAAGTCTTGATGATATTTTAGATATATTAGCTGGTTCCTATAGTGATTTTCTTGTAATGCTATGCGTACTTCCAAGAACTCCTAACAGTGTGTTTATCTAAAATACCTATCAAGCATCCAAGGCCAAACGAAACAACACATGCCTCATAGTTCAGGCTGATAGCTTTATTTCTTGTGCAATTTAGGGTGAGACCCTCCTTTCTTATACAACCTTACTAATAGACCCCTAACTTCTTACCTAACCACTTTTAGGAATATAGACAGAGCGCATAGATCCATTTTGATATACTAACCGGTCATTAGCTCTCAGTTGACCTCCTCTTTTACCACTCCCATTTTGGGTTGTAAAAGAAAGCCTGGTGGTCACTGCCTGAGGACACTTCTTACCTGCCTTTATGACCCCGAAAGGGCAGAGGATTGCTATTGCTTGGGTTTATAACTGGATTCCTGAGAGACTTAGGGGGAAGGGAGAGAATAAGGAGACTGAGAGGAGGAGAGAGAGAGGAAAAAAGAGACCGGAAGAACTAGATGGGTAAGAGCTGGAGAGGAATGGACTAGATGGGAAGAACTAGATTGAAAGGCTAAAAGAGAGTACTAGAGGAACAAGATGGAAGATGAAGAAGAGCCAGATGGGGGAGAACAAGATGAAGAAGAACAAGATGAGAAAGAAGGAGATGGGAGAGGAGCCAAGATGGGAAAGAACTAGATGGATGAGAACCTAGATGGGGCAGAACTGATATGAGAGAATTAAGATAGAACTTAGAGGAGACAGCACATAAATGTAGAAAGAAATCAGGTAAGAAAGGAGCTAGGTGTGAGAGCAGAATAGAAGCTGTGTAGAGACAGAACTGACTCAGAACAATAAAGTGTATGGACTAAGAAGTTTCATGTACGTAGATCCATTTCCTATCATCAAAGATTATCAGCTGGTTGTAGATTCTTCCTAGACCCTGGGAGGGAACTATCAAGGGGCTGGACTCCCATAGTCCTCGTTACACCAGCTACTTAAACTTTGGTCCACAAGAATGTTAACTAGCACCTCATATGGGAAGCCTGAGGACAATTCACATGAGACATGCCGAAACAGAAGCATTTTTCTAAAAGTCTCTCGATTAAAACTTTGGTGAGCCTAGTAGTGTCCACTCCCACCCCAAGTTCATATGCTGAACTCCTAACCCCTCATACCTCAGAACATGACTATTTAGAGATGCTTCTTAAGGAAAACAGAATGGTGAAATGAATCCATGAGAGTAGGCCTTAATTCAGTGGGACTTACATCCTTCAGAAGAGATAAGGACACAGACATGCAGGGAAGACAAAAGAAGATGACATCTGTGACCCAGGAAGAGCACCCTCATGGTAAGCTGAGCCTGTCAATGGCTTGATGTCAGAGTCCCATTTCAAGTTCTGAATAAATATGTGTGATGTTTCAGCCCTCCAGGGTGTCCACCCTAACTGACTGGTCGTAACCACTATGGTCAAAACCACGACCACAATGCAGGTTGAAGATAGTGTGCTTTCAGTTAAATAAAAAGCCAAAGAAGCCCCAACTTCCCCACAAGGAACAAAAGATTGTATCCAGAAACCCCAAAGATACCAAAACCAGGACACTCAACTTCTTCTGCAAACTGCCATAGTATTTGTATATCATTAATAAAATTTGAACATTGACTAAAACATGCCTTCACTTCAAAGTGGGTAGTGAAGTCAACCCTCTTATGTCCTAACCAGGATAGTTACAATGTCTCCTGCAGAGATTTTCATTTACTGTCTACACTGAATGTGTGAGTACCTTGTTCAAATCACATAACTCGTCTGCCACTATGTGTGCCCAAGTTTGGTGTCCTGTAGGCTAAACTTCTTTAAGCAAGTGATACAGTTTGAATGTGACATTCAAAAGGTCCGGTGCTGGAAACTTAATCTGCAAATTTATATGTTGATAGTGTTTGGGGAGGAATGTAGGTTAGATGAGTTCCAAAGAGTGAATCCCCATAATGATACCCGAGACTGTGGAAGAAGAGCACTCCAGGCTGGCAGGCTTACTCTCTCTTGCCATTGGATGCAGCCAAAAGGCCTCACTGCATGCCAAAAAGATGTTGGCCCTGTGCTTTTGGACTTCTCACAACAGTAGATAAATAAACTGTTATTCCTTAGAAAGAACTCAGTCTTGGATACTCTTGTAAACCAGCAGAAGACAGAGTGGATATGGTAAGCGTTACCCAGAAAACATCCCCAAACCCAAAACCTACCTGCTCACTAGCTCAAAGGTTCTGCTCACCACCACGTGCTCCCTCATTGGATTTAAAAGGACAGTCCAGTTGTGAGTTACCTGTAGAAGTCAAAATGTACAATTATAGTAAGTCTTTGGGAATAACCACCCTGAAACATAGGGATATATAATCTGGACAGACACAATTTTTTACAAATATTCTCAAATTATAGTTTAGCTAATTTTTGAATATAGTAGAACCTGTGGTGGGTAAGGAGGGTCAAAAATACTGATTTGTGAGTAAATCACTACAAGTTATTAGAATTATTTGAGTCTTGGGCAATCCTTTAGTTCTCTGAGGCCATTTTTTAAAATGCCTCCTTAGAATTGATTCCTGCTTAGAGCCAGGAGGCACAAACCTGCCCCCAGAAACTCCAGCACCCTGTGTCACGGCAGCCTCCTCCCACAGAGCTAAGCTGGGACAGCTGCTGCTGCAGACAGACCTGCCCTGAGCCAACACAGCAGATGGCAGCCTGGAGGACCAGGGAGAGAACTTGCAGTGGGAGGACCGTGGTCGCCCTCCCAGATGGAAGAAATTGAATGTAGGAGCTCTAAAACAGGTCTCCGCAGAGAACCTCATATGTGAGGAAACAGAAACCATCTTAAAAGACTCGGTGTTTGCAAAGACAGTATCTGCAGGAAACGTTCTCTGTGTTTCTGGAAATGAATTTGTATGTGGGCATTCGCAAAGTGCTAGCATGCTACAGAGAGCCTCCTGGCAAGAGCAAGGAGAAGTGATAGTACTCATTTAATTTGGACAGTAAATCTGCATAGCTGAGAAGGCACCTAGACAACAGACGTTCCTTCTAGTTACCTGTAGCACAGCAGGAAAACTATAATAATGACATGTGATGGTAAAATAACTTGAAGAATGTGCAACTTTCTGCCACAGAGATGATGAATGTTTGGGAAGACAGCAATGTCAATTACTCTGATTTGATTATTACACATTGCATGTATACAAGTGTCAAACTATTACACTCTACCATATAAGTATATATGCATATTATGCCAATTAAAAATTTTAATTGTACAATAGTGTTTAAAGGCATCAGGTTATACCCCCATGGTCTTCAACGTAAGAGTCAACAGGCACAGGGTAGACATACCTGTCCCCCGTGTTCATTGCAGTGGGTTGTGCCCCTCACATGGGAACTTAGTTTCTGTCTTAAGGTCATTCTATGATTTAGAATGTTAGCGTTGTACCAGCATTGACAATTACCATCCTTGGTTATAATTAGACTTTTGTCCTGTGGACTATGATCTGACGAACAGGGAATGTAAGAGGTACAGCCTTGCCCATAAACAGGGTTTCCTTCTAATGGTTGGTTATATCAGGGAAAACTCCTGAGCACAGGACATATCTTCCATGCAAGTGTTCCTATGGAAATCCAACGGAATTGCTGACACCAGGACTTGGGGACAAGGGAGGCTCCATGGAGCGGCATCATGCCTTTGCTGCCTAGGCTCTGATTGTTGCTGGCTCTCCTTCTGAGCGCAGGTGCATTTCCAGAATGGGAGCTGAAGCCAAAGCTCTGCGCAGGGCCTACAGCACGTGGCTCAGGAACCTATGTGCTTAGCAGTGCCACAAACACAAGGCAGCTGTGGCATCCACCTGTCCTCACTGACGTCAGGCAAGTCTCAAGTTGACTTGCGCTTTACAACAAGAACCGCTAGCATTCATAACGTTTCTCTGAATAAGCTAGTAAAAAATTTTATTGCATGAAAAACTTGCAGGTGCGACTCGACTGAACTGGCATGGAAAGATAATTTCAACGACAAAGCAAGAGAAAAGCATCAATGGCTTCCCTAATAATGGAGTTACTGCCTTTTGGCTTCCGTCAAATCCATTCAATGGGAAACTCAATTTATAATGAAGAGATTTTACAATTTCTTTCAAATAATGTAGAAGTATAACCTGCTGTGGTCGCCGCCACCTGGTGCCCATTGGGTCTGCCTGGGTCACCACAACCATGACATGCTCTTCTTTCCCTGAACCGCTTGGTCCACCAGCCATCAGGGGCCCTGCCAGGTCCAGTTGAAGCATTATGGAGTCCACATGGCCACTGAGGCTCACAGCTGAGAGTGTATCAAGGTGAACCACAGAGCAAGGAAGAAACACCTACTGTTCCCCATTAACACCCCCCAAGACACACCCCTTCCTAGGAGAGCCCACAAATATACATCCAGCCATTTGTTCCATTCCCTATACCCTGGCCCATTTATCACTCCAACCCCTCACTATGACACGTACAATTGGTTTTATTTTGCTCCATCATGTTCAATGTCTGTTGCTTGAGTTCTGAATGATATCTACACAGCACTTAAAGACTGTCTTCTTGCTTACACTGTTTACAGCCAGCATAAAATTCCCAGCCACGTTCATGGGCCCATAGAAGTCCGGATTCTCTCATGAATGAACTAACCCATACCCACATCTAAGTCATGGGGTATCAAATCCCTGGTTATAAGATGAGAAACTACAATGAGAATTAAAAGCATTCTGAAACTGGCAAAAATCAATAATGTCCACAGCAACGAGAGTGTTGAAGGTCAAGCTCTTGGTCGAGCAGGGCCTATCAGGAAAAGCAGGGCCCGCTTCACAGTTCTTCCCGTGGTGCTGGGCACTGCCCAACCCTTCCCCTTACCTCCTACATCCCTGCCTGTGTGTGTTGTACAAACATAGGAGCCCATGTGCGCCAGCTGTGTCTTGAGTCTCAGAACCCCCTTCTCTGCTGAAAGGTCCTAGTAGCATTGAGTGTGTAAGAGCGATAGCTGAGTGTGTAAGAACAATAGCAGACTGTGCAGGACAGCTAGCCCAGGCATTTGAACCAGGTCTCCCAAGACTCCAGAAAGAGCTTGCTGGGTTCACGATTTCCCAGTGGCCGGTTCCTTTGTTCTGACTTCAGCCCCTAGAAATGCAGTTGGTTGGTTGGTTGGAAGCACAGTATCTACAGGATTTGCTTTGCCTGTTGGGGAAAGTCAGTCAGTAAATGGATCGTTTTCTTTTTTGTTGTTTTATTTTTTTTTTTTAATTTTCAAAACGTACTGTTTTTTAAAACTGTACACAACACCCTGGTAAAGGAAAATGTTAGATGAGCCCTGTGATCTGTGTGACGGTCCCTCCTCCACACTGCTCCATACTTGCGTTTAGAAGAGACAAATGGAAAATGGAAGTCACCCATGGAGAAAAATTTAAAAAACAAAAAAGGTTCAAGAGGCCCGGTTGCTCTGCCAGCCTGAAACTGTTCTGTCCTGGTCTTTCCCCGAAGCCCACTCCGAATAGTTTAATAGCAAAGAAGTGCTAAAGGCCTTGAAGACGCCAGAAAGGAGAACAGTGCCACCTAGCGGCAAACCTCGGAAGAGCAGCGGGCGTCTCTCCAGTATTTGAGCATTTATCCACCGCATAGTCCTCAGGTGTAGTAGTCTTTCTTCTACGCGTGAACAAACGCCTGACAGGAGGACACTGGAGAGCAGGAGCGTTTATTCTGGCTATCAGTTTGAGAAAATCTAGTCTTTCATGGTGGAGAAGGCGTGACAGCAGGTGGCTCCATTACAGTGAGAGCATTCTGGAAAAGAGGCTGGGGCCAGCAAGGCTGGCCTGTAACCCTCAAGGCCCACTCCATTGATCTACTTCCTACAGGAGGCCACACCTCTCAAAGATTCCACAACCTCCAGAAATAGTGCATGAGTCTTTGTGGGGTCTAAAGCACTAGTGGGGAGTGACAAGGTCACATTATAACGCCCTACAGTTAGCCATTTAAACAGAGAACACAAAAATTCAAGGGGCAGCTGGGCACGGTGACACAAGCTTTAATCCCAGCTCTCGGAAGGCAGAGGCGGGAGGATCTCTGTGAGTTCGAACCCAGCGTGGTCTACAAAGCAAGTGTTTGTACAACACAAAGGACAAAGCCTGTGTCAGGAGAAACCCTGTGTCAAAAGTAAATACATAAATAAATAAAGGTCTACACAGGTAGCCGCCTTTCCTTTCCCAATGCAGGCAAGCCCGACCTGAAGTTTGGCATTATGCCACAATGACTTCCGCACTTGACAAACGCAAGCCTTGGAGCTGAACCCTACCCTGAAACTCACTTTAACCCAAAGCTTCCAACCATAGTGTGATCCTAACACAGTCCAGGTCGCTCTCTGCACAGGGGCACCCACCCTCACTGATCCCCACTTCTGCAGAACGTCACTGTACGTGTATTCTCTGGAACACGCCCGAGGTGCCCACCTTCTACCCCTTCCTCCGTGTTCTGCTGCGCTATCTGTCACAGGTGCTTACTCACAGTGGCCTCAAACTTTAGATTTTTCTCCCTAACAGGTGTAGCTCTTCAAGCAAAGGAACTGCTTCCTACTCTTATTTTTCTTTTTTAACTTTTCTGGAGAACAATGGATTCTCAAATCATTAGATGCCCCTAAACAGTACACAGTACCAAATGAAGGCTTGTTTGTGGCATCATCCTTGGAGTCCTCTGAATATAGACCAGACTCCCAGACAGACAAGAGCATGAAGAAGCAAAAAAAAAAAAAAAAAAAAAATAGCCTCCATTTTCTGATGCATCAGCTGCATTCTTCCTGCCTTGCCCATTTGCCCAAATTTAAGCTTTACCTCTTATTTGAGACCTAACTCAACATCCCCTCAGAGTTCCAAAACTCATCCTCAGAGGTCTTGGTGGCCTGTCCCTCCTCATCTCCCATTGTTCTGCTGGGGACAGGGACCCCCTCCCCCACTCCCCTCCTGACTGTCCCAGTGCCCAGACCTGGACCTGTAGCAGGGAGGAAGACATGGAAAGAAGCTTCAGGAGAGCAGGCAATGTGCCACTGCGGGGCATGGGACAGTCTCAAAGAGAGATGTTTGCTGACACCTACGCTGTTGAGTCCTTACCTTCTACTTTGCTATGGAGCCATTAAACATTAGGCTCAGTATTACTGGGCCCAGGCTCCCTGCTTGCTCAAGCTTTGGCTCTCTTTTGGACTGGTCCTTGGCTTTAGTCCCTTCCTTGGCCTGCAAGCTCTCCTCCTGACACCCACCCAAGGATTCCTTCTTCCTTTGCCATAGCTACTTTGAGGCTCAGTTTACCTGGATTACAAGATTTCTGGGTATTTGATTGATTATAGTTACTGTGTACGCCCGTGAGGATGTTTCTGAAAAAAGTTAACATTTGAACTGGTGGACTTAATGAAGCTGGGTGCCCTCCCCAACCCATCAGAAATCATCCAACCCACTGAACCTGGGTGGGAAAGGTCCCTGAGGGAGGATTTGATCAGCTTGCTTACTAGTGAGCCAGATCTTCATCTCCTGCTCTAGGCTCGGGCCTTCAGCCTTAGATTGGGACACATGCCACCTTGGAGTCCTCTGAATATAGACCAGACTCCCAGACAGACAAGAGCATGGAGAAGCAAAAAAAAAGCCTCCACTGGGGGGCGGGGTCAAGCCAACCCCAAATGCCCAGGCCTTTGAGGTCCACTTGGACTTGCAGGTGGACTTCTCAGCTTTCACAATCATGTGAGCCAATGCCTTAAAATAATTTTATATATATATATATATATGCTTGCTTTATATATCTATAACTAGCTATGTATACATATATTCTATCTGTGTTTTGTTAGTCTGATTTATGGGGTCCTATTTGGAGACCTTAAAAAGGCAATGGGAGAGATGGTTTTCATTCCCTACACTGTTTCCTCTACATTCACTGGTAGCTCTGGCCACAGCTCAAGGTGTGACAAGGGGCGGAGAAGAGTATAGGAAGAGAGAGGGAGAAAGAGAAAGGATGAGGGGTTGAAAAAGAATGGGAGGGGAGGGGAGCAGAGAGGGAGAAATCTAGTAACACGTAGGTGAAGGGTCACTGGCCTCCGCTCCTTTACCTAACCGCCTGGGAGCCTTGCCATCCTCTCCCATAACAAGTGCAGACAATAATTCAGGGACAAAGCACTTCAGGTGCCTGCAATTACAGGTTTCTAAAATAAACCCTGCAATTACTGAGCTGACACAGCCTGACTGCTACAAGGCGACGCAGATGTTCACAAGGAAGAGATAGCCTTGGTATTTCCTAACTGAGGGCGGGCAGGAGAGAGCCCTTCCTGTCAGCACATAGCCCTCTGCCTCTGGCCTCAGCGCCAACCAAGAAGGCTGGCGAAGGTCAAGGAAGAAGACATAGGCTGTACCTAATTCTCTTCCACCTAATAACTGCCCTCTAAGGTCAGAACCCCATTCCACCCCAGCACACCTTGTCTGTTTCTTTGGTTTTGGTCTTCTAAGACAGGGTCTCACTATGCAGCGAATTTTCATCTCCTGCCTCAACTTCTCAAGTGCTAAGATCACAGCCATGCCTCACCAACATCCTAGACCTGAAGGAAAAAAAATTAATGAAAAGTAGTGAACTAGTGCCATCAAGCATGCGTCTGTCTGTCAGTTCGGAGAGCAGGGCCCTGGCTACGAGCTATTTATTGAGCCCTGAGCCCTTATCACACAGAACATAATTCTGCCCGGCAAGCCGGATGGCCCTGGTTAACAGCTATCCCTACAATATCTTTGCTCTGTAAATCCCCCATTTGTTCAAAATGACTAGAACTTAGAGGTTTTGACTCTGTTAAAATGGTTAATTGATTTAAGTGTAACTTGGAGACAGGAGCCTAAAAGCAACTTACATGTGAAAGCGTATGTAAGAACACAAGGTGATAGCTCAGACCTGTGTAAGTTATGGAAGATTTGTGTTCAGGGTGAAGGTTCCTTAAACCTTGAAGGGCTACAGTCAACCACTCACTAAAGAGATTTTTTTCCCATTATCTCTGGGCACTTGGAGTGATTTTCTGCAAGAAATTAATCTGCTGTTTCAGCCCCTTCTTCAATTCTAGCAGAACTTCACCCTGTAGAACATCTCAGTACACCTTCTGCAGTACACAAATCCCAAGTTGGCTCCTACCTCCCCCCTGGGGTAAAGCCCAAGAAGGCCACAGACTGACAGCTTTCACAAACCCTCACTGTGCATTTAGAGCCTAGTGTCTTGGGAGAGGAGCCATAGGAAACCTGTGGTGACAGTGGACTTGTTCTGAGGAACCCATAAGAAACTGGAGTCAGCCTCCCACGAAATAATAATTGTCCTAAATCCCCCAGCACCCCTGCCCTCTTGCCTGGCTGCCCCATCTCTCCCATCCCCTTCTATCTTTTCCTCCATCCAAATGTGCAAGCCCACCCAGAAAACAGGAAATGAGCTCCTTATTACCTGTGTTGCCCAAAAAACATGGGCCACTGGGCAAGACAGGCGGCGGGCCTCTTGGTAGAGACTAGCACACATGACTGTCCATCGAGAGCTTTGAAGAGATGCTTTAGAATAAAGGGGCACATCATGGGAGGGTGTGAGGGTGGGAGGGATTAGCCTGGTGGTATCTATTCTCTGCCTAAACTGCCATGATTAGGTAGGGTGCCTATGTGAGGAGGACTTTACTGTTGGTCCTCACAGGACGTCCCAGCAGAGCACTAAGTCCCATCATCTGCTTGCTGACACATCTCTTCCCTCGGTGAGTCTCACTGAAGACATGACCCAGCAACTCTGCAGATCCTTAGAGGGTTTTCAGCTACAAAGTCACCCGGTGGTGGGGAGAGCAGCATCCCAGTCCTGGGGGCCGACATGAAGTCAGTGCTTTGAGGAGGGGAAAGTGGGGGCAAAAGAAGCCAGGAAGCAGCAGGGGAAAGTCTTGGATTTTTTTCAACCAAGGAAATGGGAGAGGGGGAGAGAGAAAGTGAGAGAACAGTCTGCCAACGTCCTAGATCTTGAGTAATCTCACGGGGAAACACTTCCCCAACTGCAACTCAAGCACCCATTTCTCATGGTGAAGAAAATACAAAGGTGTGAGCAAAGGCTCGGTCAGACGTCAGGGCAACCCTGTGGTGAAAGTCGGGGAAACGGGAGACTCCTTCACTAGGACTTGGGAAATAAACTACCAATGACAAGTAGAAAAATGACCCGATGTTATAAAGTGTAAGTATAATAAATACTGAATTTAGCTTTCCAAGTGCATTAGTTCCTTTCATTTTTTTTAAATGACAATTTTCAGAGAAACAAACCCATTTTAAAAATCTCATTTAGAATAGCATTTTTAAATGCCTGGGGATAAACCTAACCAAGGAGGTGAAAGACCTTCATCATGAAAACTTTAAGATGCTAAAAGAAAATTAAAGAAGATCCTAAAAGATCTGTGCTTGTGGACTGGCAAATTAATGTGAAAAAATGACTGTATTACTAAAAGCAATCTTCAGATCCATGCAATGCCCATCAAACCCAGTGATATTCTTCATAGAGTTAGAAAAAAGAACCTCAAATTTCATATGAGACACAAGAAGACCCCGAGCTCCCAAAATCACACTGAGCAGAAAGAGCAATACTGGAGATACTGCAAAACCTGAACTCAAACTATGCTACAGAGCCATAGTAACAAAAGTGTGTGCTGTCGGCACAAAACAAAGTTAAAAAAATAACAAAAATTAAAAAGACATGTAAGGACCCCGGCCCTGCAATGAGCTTGGATACCATTCTTCTAGACCCTGGTGAATCTCAGTTAACAACAAAGGTTCCCGTTTATTCGGCAACACTCTGCACCTTTACGGTGGCTGTGTTAATGTGTTGGTACATTTACTAAGGATACTGTATTGGTGGCCAGCCCCTTCACAGCAAGAGGAGCAAGACCTATGGGGCTGGATTCCCCAGGATCCAGTTCTACAGAGCCTGCCCTCCTGTGAGGAAACAGCTGCAGATCTATGGAATCATGTGTAAGATTCCATAAACTAAAATGGGAATACAGTGGGGTCTCTCTACCATGTTCCCAATCCCTCAGCCATACTATTTCCTCCTAAGCAGCAAACCTTCTGTCCCTTCCTCGGGGGACCGAGAGCACATCTCCTGAACATAACCTAAAAACTGATGAAGACGCACTACTTTATCTTACTCCACAGTGTCTCAGCGTCCCCCACAGCACCAACGTGTCTAGATTCTGTTTGTCCCAAGTTTTACTCCCAGCACTTGGAATTGTGCCCCGCTCTTATCCTTTCTCTTTCCCTTTATCTGCAAGCTTCTCTCAGGGGCATTCTCATGTCTGACTAGGCAAGTTTCCCATAGTTAGACATAAGGCACCATGACTGGAAACCTGACCAGAGCAAATCAGGATGAAGAAAGAATAGACACACATATAGAAAAGCTGTTATTAGGTGGGCTGTGCTCACTGGGACAGAAGCACCAACTATACAACCCAGAAACTCAGCACAACCCGGAGGAGTTAGCTCGTCTGCGTGGGAGGTCTCTGTAGGGGAGGAGTCTTAGGTTGCAGTAATATAAGAGGAGGAAGCTACAGTTGCTAGTTTTTGCACACATTCAATATCTGCACACAGTTCCCATGGGTCTAAGGCACTAGAGTCCTTGACAGGGCCATGTTTAAGTCAGACAATGCACATAGACTCCAGGCTTCCAGCACTCCCTAGACCAGCTGACTTCTGACTAGGTTTACATCAATCCTCCAAGTAGTACAGAGATTAAGGTGTTGTCTGTCTCTACCCTTAAACACTATGGAGCTCAGTATCCAACTATCCTAATGATGGTTTTCCACAGAAGATTCCAAGGCAAGAGAAAATGAAGAGACAAAAACAGCAGCTGAGACTTGAGAGGACAAAGAAGCCACTTTTGCAGCAGTATGGGTGACAGCAGACTCACAGTTGAGAAAGAGGGACATAAAGGCTTCTGTGGCAACCCCCACCCCCACCCCATCCCACTCTCACCCCAAAAAGTCACAGCTTATACAGAAAGCCATGGAAGAGAACTCTTAAAAATCGTGATGAGGATGCTGAAGTATAGTTCTCCACAATAGATGACTTCCGGTGGGGCTGGGGGTGGGGAAGGTCTCCATTTTCTTTAAGGGGCTGGCTACTGGGGGTCTGACCATGCTCCAGTAAGTATATGGGCAACACAAATTGGACTTGGTTTTTGTTTTGTTTGTTTTTCTTCTTTTTTGCATGTGTAGAGGAGGTCACAAGAGTAGGTGGGGGCCAGACCTGGGAGGACTGGGAAGTGAGTGTGATCAGGGTTCACGATGTGAAACTCTCAAATGACCAATAAAAATATTCTGTTAAAACAAACAAAAAAAACAGCAATTGAGCAGAAGATCCAGTCAGAGGTAAGACCCAGACAATAGGAGTCACCTGTACTGAAATTCTAGAAGAATGGTGGGACAAGGACACAGGACACTAGACCTTTGAGAAGCCTGGATCCCCTTGTCCACCAGGTACATCCTTAAGAAACAGTACGTAGTAGGAGCACTGACTCTGACCATCTGTGCTCGGCCCTCTGGGACAGGTGTCATAGTTTCTGAATGACTCTGCAGTTACCCATCGCTGAAACTGCTACCCCATGCATACTGTGGATACAGTAGTTTTCCAGCGGTGACACAGCCAACAGCTGCCAGAACTTCCCTTGATCTGGATACAGGCTGAATAAAATCTGCAACCATTCAAAACATTTAATTATATATTTTTAATATGAAAACCATAGGATTTATATAATTTTGATTACTGTTAAAAACAGAGGTGTGATGTATGCATACAAATTTCACCAGCTTGTCCTAATAGCATTAGAACATAAAAATATTTTTATTCATCATCCTGTGTTAGCTACAATGAGCCTTGATTATTGATGTTTTTCAGTTAAGGCTTCACACTTTCAATTTTTTGTTTCGACAGCTCCTAAATACCCAAGCCACAAATTAAACTGTCAAATGTGTATATGAGACATTTTCTAATTTAGGAGAACAGAGGAATGTACGTAGGTGACCATGTTTGTGGAAATTGCAAAGAACATTATTAATTAATTAAACTGATTAAAGAAATTAATGATAAGATGCTATACTACTGAAGTTCAAAGCAATTTCTCAAATTCTTTCAGATGTGTCTATAAGTTTTAAAAAAAAAAGTCCATTTCCCAAATAAAAAAGCTGAGCTCAAGTTGTCTTTGGGGCCCAGGGGGAAGCTGGTGAACTCTGACCCTCCTTTGGCATTGCAGCAACCCCTCAATCTCTGCTCAGCAAAGGCTTCAGCACCACACAATTGTGTGAGTAGAAATACAGGGGAATATTAGTAGCCAAATATAATTAAACAGTGAGGTTTCCAGACAGTTGTTTCTATTTCATGGTGTGGGTTACTGGATCCTGGACCACTGAGCCCCTTCCTCACAGATCTTAGGAGCTAACTGTACCCAATTCAGGCAGAAGGAATGAGCTATACCATTTTTTACTGACTCCATGCTCAAGAGAAACAGACCCAGCCTACACACAGAAGCCCAACCAGTGCTGCTAAGGGCAGGCTTCCCCCACCACCCCTCAACCTGCCACGTCCATGCACACTCAGCATCTTCTTCAAAGAAGTTAAAAACTCAGGCAGTCACTGCTAACAGGAGGCCCCAGGCCTCAGGTCTTTCAGCCAACCATCCCAAAGCTCACAAGGGCTGTGTCCACCCAGGAAGGCTCCCAGTACCCACACTGATTCAGTAGGAGTTCTGGGTGAGGTTGGTACTCACAGAGCACACCACCACAAAAACAAACAAGCCTGTGACCTTCATCCACCGTACACAGCACCTGCAAGAGACAAGAGGGGTCCTGAGCCATGCACGTAGCGGCTTCTGTTCGGTATCTGAAGGAAGCAAGAAAGTCTATGATGATGAGACAGCTTGGTAGTGTTTTGTTCACTAGGTAAGTTCCCTATGTGTTAGAAAATCATTCTGGAAATTTTAAAATGGTGAAATTTTATTTTCTATTCTCTTAGACTTAATGAATTTGACAAATAATCATTTCACATTTCCAAATATCATTTCAACAGCACCTACTTAAGTGGGAATCTAAATGACTTTTGTTTTTTAAAGTATGAAGTATAATTGAGGTATCCTAGGTATAATTTTTTTTTACATAACTGACATATAGCAGAGCTGACAATTCAGAATAAAAGGTTTCTTGCGGCCGGGCGGTGGTGGCGCACGCCTTTAATCCCAGCACTCGGGAGGCAGAGCCAGGTGGATCTCTGTGAGTTCAAGGCCAGCCTGGGCTACCAAGGGAGTTCCAGGAAAGGCACAAAGCGACACAGAGAAACCCTGTCTCGAAAAACCAAAAAAAAAAAAAAAAAAAGGTTTCTTGCAAATGTCTTTGCTGTTCATGCCCGGTGCTATCTAGACTTGCAGTTAGCTATTCCATGGGCACTTCCAGGGTAATACATGCTTGCAGAAAGCTGCTGCCCATTCAGATGACTACGCATGCCTCAAAAGTTGCTTTTGGTTACAGATAAGGTCTTTCTTTCTGAGAAATTTATAAGGAAGCAGACACTCCCACAGAGGCATGTTAGGTGAGCAAAAGCAAACTGTGGGAGACCAGCTTCCACATTTATTTACCCCAGGGACTCTTGAAGAGTGAGGGATAAAAGACTTAGATAGAAATATAGAGGGGAGAAAAAGAGATAGAAACACAGGATAGCCTCGGGTGGGCCTGGATCCTTACCCACTGGCCCAGAACTTTATTCAAAAGGGCTTTTATAACAATGCCAAGGGGAGGGGCAAAAGACCTCCCCCTTGCTAGATACAGCCAAGTGTAGACCCTTCCAAACACCTGGTACTCAGGCCCATGGTCCCATCATCCTCTTATGCAGTCCTACTGGGTAAAGCCACTAGGAAACCCCGGTGGGCTCCAACAGCAAACTTAAAAATCAAAATCATTTTATTATAGTCTCTTCCCAGAGGTTCCTTGTCCACCAATGTGTTGAACAGGTGGATGTTAAGGAAGCATGACGCTGAAGTTGTGACAGTTCAAGACAACCCAGAGATTCCTCTATCTTGTATTCTTGCTGAGGTCATTTCAAATTTCACTAGAATCTGACCTCCTTAATGGAGAATCCCATGGAAAATTGCCCAGCTGTATTCTAGGAACCCGAGTTCAGGATGTCCTAGCTAACCTAGCCCTGCAGCTAACAGCTCATCTTAACTTCTGTCAAACTGCTTGCTTACCCTAAGCCCCTCCGCCACCATGAAACTGCTGAGCGAGATGCCAGGACTTGGTTTCTGCCTTCAAAAAGTCTCATGTTCTGGACACTCAAGGCCACACCTGGGTCCCCCCATACTTGCTTTGGTCCCAGCTGGCTAGAACAAAGACTCTCAATTGGCTGTAAACTGTGTCTGAGTGGTCATCTCTGGTGGGCAGCCCATAACAAAGTGCCTTGCCAAAGAAAAACCTCCGGCTCAGAGACATTTGGAAGATGAGTCTTACTTGATGACACTGTCACTGTTTCCATGATGAAGCCCCTTGCTTGGTTTACTTGGGACAGACACTGTTTCCAGAGTCACCTAGTGGCTTCCTTACTTGTTGCCAAGTAATAAGTCATTCTTCCCTCGTCTATCGCCTGACTGTGTCATCACCAAGAGGTGAACCAATGGCCCTGAGTTGCTGTGTTCTAAAGAGCAGCTGGAAACAACTGTCCCCTGAATCACAGAAGATCAAACCGCTGAATGGAAAGTTACCTCACTGTGAGACGGTCGATGCCATGCCAGCCTCTGAAACGACTGAACAGCCAGATGGGGAAAGGTAGTTACAGTGGCAGGGTTTAACCCCCACCTCCAATGACCCATGTGGCCAGATCTCCAAACAAAATTTCGTGATTTGTATCATTTCAGAACAGATCCATGAGCCACACATCTGTTATGCCTAAGAGGAGAGCTGAGAGAAGTCAGGGTGCAGGAGCTGCCGGTGGTTAGGGTTAGGGTTAGAAAGGGACAGCTCAGGGTCAAGGTGAAAGGGTCCCAGACACGAGCCTTCTGCCAACTGTCACAAGTGTTGGGAGAACCAATCAGGTGAGCTGGTAACGACTTGGCAGGTGGGTTTCTATGAGCAGAGATAAAGCACTGAGGCCTAAAACTGAGTCCATCAACCTTTCCAGTATCTTCAGAAAAAAACTAATCCACAAACATAGTGATGCAACACCAATACTGGCTGGTTTGGTGACACTCATCTTGGGCGTACACCCATCATCTTTGTGTAAGCCCATAGAAGGCAGTGAAGTGGAGGATGTCATGTCACAGCAGGTAACTGCACAGCCACACACAGCCCTGTCATCGTCATTCAGTCACTACTGCTGGCTTTAGCTCTCAAGCCGTGGTCTTTCCTTGGAGATGGGCTTTCAAACACTTTGGCCTAAGAGGAACTCTCTCCAAATAAATGTATGTGAGGAAGGAAGCCTGGCAGATAAGCTAAAATGAGGCCAGGAGATCCTCTTAGCACTCCCACATACATTCCTCCATCCATGCCCACCGAACTCTGCTAGACAATAAACTCCAAAACACCACAGGGATCCCTAAACCAGTGACCCCGTTTGTCAAGAAGATGCCAGCCTCATAAGCAGAAATGAATGAACAGGAGATGTGGGTCATTTGGATTTTTCATCAGGCGTCCTTGTGACTTGGTCAGTACCCTGCTGATTTTGCAGGGCTGACTTATGTGTCTCCTATGGCCTATGGAAAGGGTAGATAATGTTGAAGAAAAAGTGTAGCCTGGCTAACTAGAAAAACTTCAACCTCCTTTAAACCCTAGACTTTTGGAAGGCTGAAGTATGGGCAAGACCTCGGGGCAAACAGACAGCCACGTGCGGCCACTTATCCACAGCCAGAGCTGTCTCTCCACATCCACCTACCCCAGTTTGGAGACCGGAACACTCCCTGCAAGATCCCCCTTCTCTGAGGAGGCCAGTGTAGGCATATCCTCAATCTCTTTGCCCAACATGCATCTTTGCTCCCAGGCAGTCAGGCCATTTTCCCAAGAATCTTCAGTGGCTATGAACTCTGGGTGATGAACAGGCATGAAATGTGACCTGGAAAGGGAAAAAAAAAACTATGTTTATATTTCCTGAAATAGTATCTCCCTCAAAAACCAGATTTCTTCTCAGCTGTGACATACAAAAGGTGATGGAATCAGTGCTGGTCTTTAAAAGAAGTTCTTACTTACTACAGATTGTCAGTATTATTACCTAGGAGGTAAATCTTTGAGCATGTCTATGACAGAGGTTCTCAACTGGGTTAATTAAGCTTGGAAGAGCTACCCAAATGTGGGCAGCACCGTTCAATGGACTGGGATCCCCCACTAAATAAAAAGAGAAAGCTGACTGAACACCAACATTCATCTCTCTCTGCTTTTTGACTGCAGGTGAACGTAACCAGCCACCTCACATTCCTGTTGTCATGACTTTATCGCCATGATGGACAGTCCTGTGAGGAAAATGGACACTTTCTTCCTTAAGTCGCTTTTGTCGAGAATTTTGTCACAGCAGTGAAACAAGACCACAGACATCACAGCTTGGCCTCATATTCCCGGCAATGAGTCTTTCTTGATATCACAGGTCATTTGACTCAAATTTTGTGGGGTCTTTCAGTCTTCAGAATGAGTGGTCGCCCTGCAGGATATTTAGTGGACTTAGCTGAGATTCTAGTGCAGCTGCCTCTGGCTCAGACCAGTCCATGCTCCTTCCATTATGTTTTTCTCTCTGGATGTACAGGAGCACTCACTCGCTAGCTAGCCCTGTTCCACGTATCCCGCAACGGAGTGATTTGTGTTAAGCTTTCCTCTTTCCATGATGGACTGTAGGAAAGTGGCCCACCTGCTTTCCCACACAGCAATGCAGCAGTGTGAAGGAGAATGAACAGTATCAACATCAGCTAATGAGGGTTCAAGGCTGGGGTCTGTATTTACAAGGGCACATGGGAAGGAATCATAAGCCTTTACCTAAATTTTGTGTGAGCACCTCATTTCCCTCACGGCTGAATGCTTGAGATCCTTCAGTGCAGATGCACTTGACCCTTTGTACCGAAAGTCTCTGTATTAATCCACGGAATGTTCATTGATGACAATCTTAATCTTAACATAGCTGAGATCTGGTGTCACATGTTCATTTAGTCAGGCATTGTGATTCTCAACACATCACGGTTTTAAGACTTTTTCACATAAAAAATAATAACAATCTTATTCTTAAGGAAAAACATATAGACATCAGGTTGGCTTAACCACAATGTAGTGGCCAAGATAAGTGATTTTGGAAATAGTTATCTTTTCAAGCGATTTTGTGACTGGAGACTGTCCATGTGTGAAAAATAGTATCACCTTCCTCTTAATTGTTGGGGAAAAAAAACACAACTGCAGCTTCTTAAAGAAACTGCTTTCGGATTGTTTGGCTCGGCCTGGGAGGTGGTGACTAGACCTACCTGGACTGAGTCTACCAGGTTGACCTCAGTCTGTGGGGAAGGCTTTGCCCTGGAGGAGATGGGAATGGGGGGGGTTGGGGGGAAGGTGAGGGGGACAGGAGGGGGGAGAACAAGGGAATCCGTGGCTGATATGTAGAACTGAATTGTATTGCAAAATAAATTAAAAAAAAAAGAAAAAGAAAAAAAAAGAAACTGCTTTCTTTACGGAGAAGCAGCACATTGCTGCTTACACTGTGTATAGCAGCGCTGTGCACTGGCGTGTGCTGAGGAGTAGAGATGGATTCTCCCCATCTGCTCCAGAGTCTTGAGTTGTACCAGCATAACTGGAGAGCTGAAGCTGACCCATCACATGTGGTGAGTGACCACCCTGTTAGTGCGGGCGAGGGGCACTCTCCAACCCTGTGCCATTGCCCTCAATGCTCTGAAATGACATGGGTCCTTCTGTAAAATTACAAAGCAATTGATGTTTTCATAATAAACAGCTGGTCATATTGAAATTGTAACAAAGGAAATGTGGTTTAAAAAAAAAACAGAAAAGTAGACAAAAGATTTCCCTAACACCAATAGCTTTTTTAAAATTTTTTATTTTATTTACATGTTCTTTGAGTTTTCACACATGTATACAATGTATTTTGACCATATCTACTCCCTACTTAGCCCTCCAAATTCTCCCAGAACTCTCCACATTCAGCTTTCCAACCCAACTTCATATCATCTTTCCTTTGTGACCTACTGGTTCCAATTAGTGCTCCGTGTGTGTGTGTGTGTGTGTGTGTGTGTGTGTGTGTGTGTGTGTGTGTGTGTGTGTGTGTGTGTATGAGTAGAGAGCTATCCACTGAGCATGGAAACCTGTGAAAGGCCACATCCCTTAAGAAAACTGACTCTCCCTCTCCCAGAAGCCACCAACGGTCGATAGTTCTCAGCTAGAGGTGTAACTTCATGACCCTCCCTCATCCGTGTGGGAACAGACTCCTTGATCTGTGCTCTTCGACAGGCAGCCCACACTGTTGTGAGTTCATTCAATGGTCCTGTACCATCCAGAAGACAATGTTTTGAAACAGTTCTCCCTGGCCTCTGATTCCTTCTACCCTCTCTTCTATAACGTCCTCTGAATGTTGGGAGGAGAGAGGCATATAGACATCCCCATTTGTGGCTGAGCATGCCACAGCAGCTTATTCTCTGGGCTTCAACTAGCTTTTCTTGCCAGAGCAGTCATGATAGTAGTTCTCGGGGTTCACAGCTGAGTGAGACTGATGATGTCGTTTCTCCTCCAACAGTGTGTATCACACCTTCCAGCACTGTGAAAGCTAGCCAGTCAGGACAAAGCTTCCGGTCATTGCCAGGTTGACTGCTCTGTGTTCTATGGATGGGCACACCAGAGTATATGGGCAGCACCAACTGGACTCAGTGGGTTCTTGTTGTTTTTAGTGAAGACACAAATCGGAGTAGGTAAGGAAGGGGGTGTGGATGTGAGGAATGTTAGGAGAAGGGAAGTGAATATTATCAAAATATATGGTATGAAATCCTCAAAGAATTAATTTTAAAAATAAGCTTGAAAAAGAGGCTTCTGATGTGAGATGAAAGCTGTATTAATCTATGGGTCGAAGGATAAGTATTTCGAAGGCAGTTGGATGCTGTGTCTGTTTTTAGCAAAATAACAGGAGGAGGGCATGTATGACCACCCCAGCCACAGAGTCTTGGCCAGGCTTACAGTATCAGATATGATCCTCTCCTGTGGAACAGGCCTTAAATTTAAACAGAAAGCTGCTGGCACCCCAGAAAATTTGTGTCATAATTGCACCAATTGGCATATCTTGCCAGGCTGGTCGTTAGTGGATCTCACAGGGTTGATTGCCAGGTAAGCCCACCACCATTATCTTCATTCACTACATGCCAAAGAAAAAAAGGGAGAACATCTTGTAGGCAGAGTTGTCTCGAGTTTTGGCTTCCAGCTTGCTCTGGCTCCGGCATGAGGTCAGCAGACATCTAAGCCCTGTCTCTGTGTACCACACGCGTAGGACAAGTGCTTATACATTTGTTTTTATAGTGAACTGCCCATTTGAAATGTGTCAGCTCTTAATAGCTGAGCAAGTAATTCAAGAGGAATAACTAAAGAAATGTGTGGAATGTTTGCTTTCAGCTATTTCTTAGGGAAGGAGTAAGAGAATTAAGTCATGCTCCTGTGGAGAAGGGTTAAGCCTATGGGTCAATGAGACAGCCTGTCAGAATTGCGTGCATGCATGGGTGTATGCATGTGTGAGGTCATCATTCCAGGGTTATGCCCAAAGCCACTTGAAAATTCACAAGCACAGAATACAATCCCAAATCACAAATATCTGCTCTAATGGACTCTCAAGGATCTAGCAGAGATCAAACATGCCAAGTAAAAGTTCTTATCTCAGGAGACTTCTCCATCATCTGTGAAACAAACCATACTCAGTACCACAGACATTTTCCAGAAAGTTACTAATTTAATAAAAAGGGGAGAGGGGAACTCACCTTTTCTTTTGTGAGGAATTACAGAGCAGAGGAGTGTCTTCCTTAAAGCAAAGGTCCTTGGAGCTGGAGCTGAACTGAGACAAAGGTGAATAAGTCCTGGGAAAGACAGGGAAGGATCCAGAATCACTGAAGTAGAATGATGCTTGCTGGAATGGAGTGCTCAGTTCAGACACAAATGAGGACTGCATGGCCAAAGTTCTATCTGAGCAGTGAAAGCTGGAACTTAGGACAGATGGCTAGAGGACTCTCCTTTCCAGCTCAACACAGATCAAAAGTACAAAGTAGTTCTCATAAGAGATGCCATCTGCCAGGGGACTGATCCTTTGGGGCTCACTTTAGCAGATGACCCAGCACTTTCTATCAATAGAAACATTAACGTCCAGTGGGTCTCTTTCTTAGGTAGAAAAGTCTGTCTCCTGAAATCAGGATATACTCTCTTGGAAAATGTCCTAGTAGCTACCATCAGAAGTCAAGGTAAACAGGTCAGAATCGCTCTCAGAGAACATGGCATAGTAGCCACAATGCCCTGGATGGGATGCGCATTTGCTATGTTGGCCTGTCCAGTGGAGGAAGGGCCACCTTAAAGGCATCCCTCCAACCAGACACTACATCATGTACCAAGGTGCACACGTGGAGTTAAAGGAGTTTTCACGAGAGGTTAAAGAAGCCGTTTTCCTACCTAATTACCTTCTACGCTGGTGCCTTCCTTCTCTCATGGAGCCCATAACATACACAGGTGCTGTGGCCACCATGAAACATTCACCCAGAGGAATAACAGTAATTCTTTCAGGTTATAAACGAACAAATGACACCAAAGAAGGAATTTAAGAAAGATAATCCTGTTTGCCTTATTTCACGTAAGCATTTACCTGGGACATGGACAATAAGACTCTTGTCTTGTGGAGAACTGAAAAGTCATGCTCTTCCCCTGTGTCTAACAGCACCTACCATGTCTCAAGAAAGCAGTCTGCCTAGAACAAGTGTGTGTGTTCTGAGCTTGCCCTGCACCATTTCCTATAGAGAACAGAGGTGCCCAAGAACCCTGCTCACAGGCTGCTAAAGACAAGGGAACATCAGGATAGAAACATTAGGTAGATTTCTTGACTTAGGACACCAAAAAGGGAAGGTATGGGGGTTGGAAAGATGGCTCAGTGGTTCAGAACAATGTCTGCTCTTCCAGAGAACCCAGATTCCGTTCCCAACACCCACATGGCAGCTCACAACCATCTGTAATTCCAGTTTTACGAGACCCAATGCCCTCTTCTGACCTTTGAGGGTACCAGGCACACACATGATGCACAGACATAATCAGGCAAAACATCTATACACATAAAAATAAGAGCCGGGCGGTGGTGGCGCACGCCTTTAATCCCAGCACTCGGGAGGCAGAGGCAGGTGGATCTCTGTGAGTTCGAGGCCAGCCTGGTCTACAAAGTGAGTTCCAGGAAAGGCGCAAAACTACAGAGAAACCCTGTCTCGAAAAACCAAAATAAATAAATAAATAAATAAATAAATAAATAAATAAATAAATAAATAAATAAATAAAAATAAGTAAGTTTTCTAAAGGAAGGAAAAGAAGAATTCTGCCTGAGATATTTAATACTTAGCATGCTTTTGCAGCTCAAACTGGCTTAACCAGTTTGGTGAGTCGGCTCCCCCATCTCCCATAACTGATCCAGAAGGTCATCTGTTACATTTATAGAAGTGTCCTAGTGTGTCAGTTAGTATCCAGCTGCTCTCTGTTGCTGCCTGCATGTTTACAGAGTACTTGTGGGAAAGTCGATTGTTGCAAGGACCTCGTTCAAATAATTTAACTACTCTGTGCCTCTAGTTTCTCAATCATGTGAAAAGAAACACACACATGTACACATACATTCACACACATATTCACACACATATACACATACACAGATATATACATACATACATACACACATGCACACATACACGTACACACACATGCATGCACAAATGCTTTTGTTTTGTCGCAGTAAATAAGGAGATATTATAAGTGAAAAGTGCACATGCCTATACTTACTTTGAGGAACTAGGAGACTGTAAAAGATGATAACAAATTAAACAATTGTACATAATTTTAGAATTCAGAGATCCTTACTGTTAATATTTTAAAAACTTCCTTTTAGTCTTTTTTTGTTTAAAGACAGGGTGGCATAGAATGTGTAAGGTTGCAATACTATTGCCTTTACCAAGTCTTTTTTAAAAAGTACTTTTGTTTAATCTTTGAAATTGTATGTATTCATGCACTATATCCATCCACCACTGCCTCCCTCCAGCTTCCTCTCAAGCCTCCCTCTCCTTCCTATCTTCATAACCTCTTCTTGGTTTTGATTAATAACCTCCTGCATCCAATGGCTTCTGTCTTTGTTCATCCCATCCACTCAGCAACCACCAACTGCCAATTAGCTTCTATGCCCAAAGTGGGTCCTCAGGGGTCCTTCTCTCCACCACCCACACCAGAATTTTGACTGGCTTGATATAGCACGGGCCTTGTGCAGGTGACCACAGCCACTGAGTTGATTTATTTGTGCAGCAGCCAGAAGTTGACTTTTCACAGCTCTCCTCCCCATCCATCCAGCTCTTACATTCATCCCACCCAGTTTCCCCGCAAATGTTCCCTAAGCCGTGGATGGGATGAGTTAATATAAACAGTTTATCCACAGCTAAACACTCACAGCTACTGATACTTGGTACTTCAGTCAGTTATGATTCTCTGCATAAACCACTACCCACAGTCAAAAGAAGCTTCTCTGACCAAAGCTGAGAGCAACATAGATCTAAGGGTGCGATCTGCATAAACCACTCTCCACAGTCAAAAGAAGCTTCTCTGACCAAAGTTGAGAGCAACACAGATCTAAGCGTGTGAACATAAATATTTAGAAGGCAGTTTACAACACAACCAGTTAGCATAACAATAATGGTTACTCCCCCCATCCAGGGCCTATGATCTCCCCAGTCATGGACTTTTGAGCAGTTTGAAGTACAAGGCCTGCAATCTCTCCTGTGACTCAGGCCTCAAATCCATCTGGAAAGAAATTGGTTGTTCCCATAATAGTCATGCCGTTATTGCAATGGCGGGCACAGTTTTCAAGGAGGTCAATATTGTAGCATGCAAGGTGTAGTGTCAGTTGAGGCTGTGGATGCCTTTTCTCCCCCCAGCAATTCTGCACAGCACCTTCTGTCTCTATGTGTGGCAGAAATCTTAAATGGTCTTATTAATAAAAACAAACCCAGAGCCAGATATTGGGGTGAATACTGGAAGATCAGAGAAACAGAACAAGCCACAGCTTCCTCACCTCGCCAGTTCCTCAGCTGATCCTGTTTCCTCAGACTGGATGACTCTCAGCTGAACTGTGCTGCTCAAAAGCCTAAAAGCTTAACCAGCCAAAAGCTTCTAGTTTCTGGTCTTCATGCCTTATATACCTTTCTGCCGTCACTTCCTGTGATTAAAGGCTCTTGTTACCATGCCTAGCTGTTTCCAGTATGGCCTTGAACTCACAGAGATCCGGATGGATCTTTGCCTCCCAAGTGATAGGATTAAAGGGGTGTGTGCCACCATTTTCTGGCCTCTATGTCTACCTAGTGGCTGTTCTGTTCTTTGACCCCAGATAAGTTTATTAGGGTGCACAATATTTTGGGGAACACAATATCACCACAACTATGTAAGCCAGCAAGCAGGGAAATGGTTTCCTGTTCAGCCAAAGTTGATTTCTCCATGACCTGCGTTCAAAGTACATGGTGTCTCCAGCAATGGGATCTTATCAACTAGTTCTGGTGGACAACCCAGAACAATGTCAATAGCCTGTGTTATTTTTGTGTCCCTCCTAGAGCCTCCCTGAACAGTAGCAATAAGGGAAATATCCTGTGACTGGCACTGAGATTTTCACTTAATAATCCATGTCTTCTGGGAATACCATTGTCACCTACTCATGCAGGGTTATTGTGGAATATTACTTTAACTATGTAAAGGTATGCTACGTTTGTTTATGCTGCATTTGTTTAACAATGTAAAGATGCATTGCTTTGCCTGCCTGAGGCACCTGATTGGTCAATAGTTAGGCAGTAGAGGGATAGGTGGGGCTGGCAGGCAGAGAGACTAAATAAGAGGAGGAACCTAGGCTTGAGAGAACAAGAGAGAGAATGAGGAAGAAAAAAGGGAGATGCCCAGGGCCAGACAGATAGACACAGAAGAAGCAGTGAAAGTAGGACATACAGAGTGAAAGAAAAGTAAAAAGCCAAGGCAAAACACAGATAAAGAGAAACAGGTTAAATTAAGTTATAAGAGTTAATAGGACAAACATAAGATAAGGCCAAGCATTCATAACCAATATTAAGTCTCCATGTCTTTATTTTGGATCTGGTTGGCAGCCCAAAAAAAGCCTGCTACATGGGGTACTTCTGTTCAAACTAAAGTTTTATATACTATTATATATAGTATCTTTATTCATTTATAAACTAGTAGATTTCCATAAGGCTTCTTCATACATCCTTACTTTAAGTTATCCCACCCACTCTCCACTTCTCTACCCTATCTCTCTGCCCCCATCCCCACTTAAACCTTCACAAGGAATAGTCCCTCCTTAGGAAAGTAAGATACTCAAAAGCAGCCATGTATACCAGGAAATTGAAAATGCCATACATATGATCAAGCAATTTCACACTTAGTAAGCAGTTGGAATGATCAAAGGCTCCTATTTCAAGCTGACCTTCAAACTCAAGTGTGGTGATATATTGTGTACCCTAATAAGCATGCCTGAGGATCAGAGGATGAAGCTAGCCACTAGATTAGACATAGAGGTCAGGCAGTGGTGGCACACACTTTTAATCCCAGCACTTGAGATCTCATGCCTTTGCTTAGGAAGCACACACGCCTTTAATCCCAGGAAGTAATATGGCAGGGCAGAGAAAGGTATATAAGGGATGAGGAAACAGGAACTCACTCTCTTCAGGCTGAGGATTTCATAGAGATAACAATTAGTGGCAGGCTTCTCTGATCTTTCAGCTCTCACCCTGATATCTGGCTCTGGGTTTTTTATTAAAGACCATCTAAA